CAAGTATTATTGTACTAAACCAGACAACACAAGCAAGTATTATTACCAGACTACTCTCAAATTGAAATCTCTTTTAGGCAGTGTTAGAATAAATTAATCTATGAGACTTTGGGTGTGGTCAGATACATTAATCAAAAGGGTTTGACCTCGTGAGTCGAAAACTGTAATTAGATCCAAAAAAACACAAACTCGGAGCCGTTCTATGATCTGCTCAGCTGTGGCTAAAAATTCAGCTAAGAAAAACTGTTTTCATATACTAAACTTTTACAAGACAATTCTGCATGCAGGATTTTAAAGTTACTCAATATCCACTTCTGTATAAAATCATTCCACATATAACTTCATATAACACTTGATATTTTAAACATTAATAACTTAGTAACACATGAGATTTTAAATGTTTCTATTACATAAAATTTTTGAACAGCTTCTATTTGTATTTAGTACTGAAAGATGCTAAGTACCAAAATAATACCATAAGATGTTTTTTATTCACGTATGATACATTTACAAGTATGGCTTCATAAGGTCGCATTACAATAAAGAACAAATGAGAAAATGCCCCAAACTTTGCTTGATGATTTTATGTCAAGAAACTAGCCTGTACAAAATGATGCATTTGTTGTAGCAAATAACAAAAAGACATACAAATGCATTCTGAAGCTATGAAAATGAGAGAGTTCTTTTCTTGTAGGACTACCTTCAATTGTTGGTGGGTAAAAACAGATATAAAAAAACAACAGTCAACTAGGTTAAGTTGTACAGAAACTCAGTTTGAAAGGTCACCACTATCATCTGGAGGAGGAATCACCTCACTCTCCTGTGACGTGGAGTCTGATGTTGCCTCTAACAGTCCATCAACATCACTTACTGGCAAGGTTAAGTAAGCCTGTTCACTGTCACTGCTAGGAGCCCCCATGGTAACTGTCATGTTGACATCTCCACAGTCTGAATCTAGCGTGATTCCATGAGGGAGAGTAAGAACAGTATTCTGACCATCTGTTGAACTGATTGGAATTAATAGCACCCTCGACCCACCATCTGAAGTGGGGACATTAACCACAGCTGCACTTGTGAATGGTTGATCTCCAGATAGTTCCATCGGAATGTGTTGCTGGTTGTCCTCATCATCTCCAGATACCATCATCACTATTGACTCTTGGTCAGCCACAGCAACATGCTGGACATTAGATGAAGATAGCGAACTAACTATAGGTGAAGCTAGATTCATGTCACCAGCAGTGACAACAGTGGTATCATTGCTGGTGAAGTTCAGCTGAGAGGCACTACTGACTACTAAGCTAGATATATCACCGTGTCCAGAAGGTAGCTCTACAGATGTGACTTGGCCAGTGTTTGCCTGCATCATGGACATAAGAAGTCCAAGATTATTCTCTACAGACACATTCTGGGTCTCACCATTTTCTCCAACTGCTTGTAATTCAAAGTGTCCTTCATGAGACAAAGTGTCCATGGCCTGAGGTACTTCAACTTGGTCATCGGCCACTTCTTCCTGGCTGACCTCTCCTATTAAACTGGCTGCCAGATCTTCCTGATTTATATTTATGGTCTCCTGGTCTTCAGCTGTCTGAATGATCACATGTTGCTGTTCTCCGTTACCAAGAATCGCCTCAGCAGCCACACTACTATCAGAACTGTGTAAGAGAAGAAAAACTTTTTTCTTTACTCACTCAATGAATACTTCAATTAAGATCTCCAGAATGGAACATAAAATATTTTATTTTTAAATTATCAGAGACACCCCAAGAAAATAGTGTAATTAATACAATACCACATGATTCTGTAAAGAAATAATTTCTCTAAATTTTAAATTAACTACTTATAAATCTTTCACAACATAATTGTTCTAACGAACTTGTTATAAATTCATGTCACATCCATTTAAGTTACAAGTAGTACTACTATTTATCTGATAAAAACTTCACCTAATGCTAACGTTCTGCTGTGAAACAAGTGCATTATATATTATGAAGTAAAAACGTGTGAACATTACTCAAAATATGGAGATTTAACACTTGGCATGTGTGTATGTGTAACTGACCAGAAACTTCATTATAAAACTTTTCAAAAAAAAATGGTGCATTAATGAAGCATACAGTCAAGTTTAAAAACTGTTAACTTTAATCCTGTAGATATTATATGGTTTTTGTCAGCAACAGAATAAAATACTACTTCAAGAAAACTTTCATAATTCTATACTTTTCAATAGAACTCTTAACCATCAAAAGCTAAGACTTTATTCAGTTTACAACAAAATGTGGTAGATGGGTTTCTTCTCAAACATCTAATTTTATTAACACCTATTTTTATCCTGTCCCCAGATCAATTACTGGAATACAAAAAAAATTCTTTATTTACTTAATAGTAACAGTCAGAAGACTCTAAGGAAAGTTAGAATTAACCTTCCCACAATTCTTATGTTTTCAATATGTTATAGAATAAAAAAGAAAGAAGCAGGTAATTCATGTCTTTCCAGGAAACCTACATTACTGAAGCAACATTTGTTAACTACTGTCACATCCTTTATTACAAGAGGAAGCACTGTTTAATAGAATAATACTTACTTGTGTTGTCTGGTTTAGTACAATAATACTTGCTTGTGTTGTCTGGTTTAGTAGAATATTACTTACTTGTGTTGTCTGGTTTAGTACAGAGATCCTGATGAGCAATAAAACCGAACTGGGTATATGCGTGCCCCAATGTTTGGTATTGCTGGTGCATTAAATATAGCTTTACATAAACATATCTTGTAGATCAAAGCCTCACAGGAGCAGCATCTGTTGACTGTCAAATCTTACCTCAACTTTGTGGCCAGAACATCCAGTTATAAGATTCTTCAGGCACATTACAAAAAATAAGTCAAAATGTAAGCCACAATCTTTTGATGCAAATCAGTAGTTCTTTATAACAGTTTTTACAAGACTTGCAGTTTTGATAGATTAAATCTCAAAAAAGCCAAGTGTTTTTTTATTTAATAAAACAGTTTGTAAGGTAAAATTTTCATAGTTATATATTATTGCTATTTTTTATCTTTAAAAAGTGTTAAAACAGCTGTATATTTCATCTTCTTAATTATTGTTTCTTTTTGTAATTCATTGGGCATGCTACAAGAAAATATTAAATTTTTAAGTTTTGTTAAAATTCTACTGTTTTTTTGAGTGATGAGATATATGGAAGTTTCACATGTTTGATTTTTTCATAGAGTTGTTTAATGTGCTGGGCTACTGATCAGAAAGTCCAAATTCAACTGTGTAAGCTAATCCCATTGTTAGGCTAAGAATATCATTAGTTTTGGTCCAAGTTTACTTACTTATTAAGTATTATTTTTATTACAAATTACAACTTTTACAGTAAGGAAGATTATTTTTTAAAACAAGTACGACACTTTGATCACTGGTTGAGATTGTTTATTTAAATACCACAACCCTCTTTACTGTTAAAACTTGTGTATTGAGAATGATCACACTAGTTATCAAAACTTCATACCTATTCTAAAAAAATAATCTTCCTTACTGTAAAAGCTACAACTTGTAACAAAATATGAGTATCAGTGTACATGATGGGTTTTGCCAACTAGTTGCCCTTTCTCTGGTTAGCTCTTATTAAATTAGAGATGGTTCCTGGGGTTTACCAACATTGTTACCAAATGGTTACTATTTTATCACATCATTTATATGGAAAACCCTGTTGAAATCATATTCTACAATACGTGATATTAAGTTTAGAAAAATATCATTAGAAACTGAGAGCACATCAACTTTAGTATGTCAACACATGTGAACTAATAAGATCAAATGTGATCTCATGATGCTACTGTCTGAAGTCATTTTCTTTACTTTCCTTTCAAAGTATGAACATCATTCAAATTTCCAATCCTCTGTGGTTTTTGTAGTTTAGTTCCAACAGTGGTTAATTAACTGAATCTTGTAATAGCTCAGCCTTCTTACTGGTTCTTGATCAAGTATACTACCTTGTCTTACCGTTTCACTCAACTGGTTCTTGGCTAAAGTACTACCTTGTCTAACCTTTTCACTCAACTGGTTCTTGGCCAAATTACTACCTTGTCTAACCTTTTCACTCAACTTGTTCTTGCCCAAAGTACTACCTTGTCTTACCGTTTCATTCAGCTGGTTCTTGATCAAGTATACTACCTTGTCTAACCTTTTAACTCAACTGATTCTTGGCCAAATTACTACTTTGTCTAACCTTTTAACTCAACTGGTTCTTCTTGGCCAAAGTACTATCTTGTCTAATCTTTTCATTCAGCTGGTTATTGGTCAAGTATACTACCTTGTCTGACCTTTACATTCAACTGGCTCTTGGTCAAAGTATAATCTTTTATAAACTTTTTATTTGATTGGTTCTGGGTCAAAGCACAGTTTTGTTTAACCTTTTCATGTGACTGGTTCTTGTCTTTGTAATATGTTCCAATTGCAGTTATTCAGTGTTAAAATGATCAGCTACGTTGTTAGTTGCTTCAGTTTTCACTCTCTTTACAATGGCATGATACAACCTGCATGAGAATGTACTGTTCCTGTACTAGCTCCAATTCTGTAGTTCTTCATCACATGTTAAGGTTACCATTAAAATTAAAGCCTTGTTTGTTTTACAAATGTGAGTATGTGCATGCAGAAATAACTCTCTGTAACAGTATGTTTTTTTAACTCTAGCCCACATCTCTTCTTCAAACTGCTAAAGTAAACTTCAGCAATAACATAAACATTCAGTGTGTTTAACTGGTGCTGCACAAGTGTTGAGAAACTGTACTATTCTGGTGACATCTAGTTTATTCTACTTATGAGTCTTTCAAAGAATTTTATAAATTTTGCAAAAGAAAAAATAGTGTACCTGTACAAGTAGAACATCACATGAGAGAGTTGAGACAACAGCATGGAATTAAGTTAGCAACATTCTGGATGAAGTAATTTATTTTACATTGTTAGTTTTGGGTTAATTTTTGGAAAAATATACATCACACACTTGACTTGGCTAAGCCTAAGCAAGTACTAAATGTAACTTTCACTCAAAAGTTTAAAACTTAATGGTAAAAGAACTGCCATTTCCCAATTTTATAAAGTATTTTTAAATCTAGTACTTAATATTAGTGAATGATAAGTTTAAGGTAATAAATACAACAAACTGAATATTTGAATGGTACTGCTACTGTTTTAAAATAATAAGAATAAACAAGACAGGATCCTCAATAGCCACGGCAAATTGAAGTCTCTTTTAGACAGAATTAGAGTAAATTAATGTACGAGACCTTTATTTTCCTTTTCATTACTATTTATCAAGTTTATGTAAATATAGCTTGTCTCCTTGAAATACTCTTAATGATACAAGTTTGGACTATTATTCTACATAGTGTCTGTTTTCAACATGTTTTACTTAGATACAAGTTTGGACTATTATTCTACATAGTGTCTATTTATGGCATCTTTTTACTTGGATACAAGTTTGGACTATTATTCTACTTAGTGTCTATTTATGGCATCTTTTTACTGAGGCAAGTTAACCCTTAGATTACTGACTTGTATTAGGTCATCAAGAAATTAATGACATGTTTTGGAACACCTTTATTAACCAACCTCCAGATAACATAAAAACAAAAGTATTATCCTTAGAAGTTGCAGTTGCTGCTTGTCATGGTGACTAATGTTGTTATGTTTGTTTCTGGGCAACAACATGACTGATGGGTTATAGTTTGTTCTCATTAAAGTGTTTTATTGTTTTGTTTGTTCCAGAGACAACAACATGACTGATGGGTTATAGTTTGTTACATAAAGCTTGCTCTAAGTATAGTGTTTTATTATTTTGTTTGTTCCAGATACAACAACATGACTGATGGGTTATAGTTCGTTACATAAAATTTGTTCTCATTATAGTGTATTATTATTCTGTTTGTACCTGGGACAACACATCTAAAAAACTGGACTTAGTTAGCACTCTTACCCTGACCTAAAGGTACCACATCTATAAACACACATTCTCTTATTATCTCTGATCATCTTTATAGGCCAAACTATTTGCATATTTTATCATAATATCCATTTTCCTGCAATCAGAGGTGTGTCCCATGACTTTTGGTAGGATAGTGTATTTGTAGGTTTTGTTATATTAAATTAATAGATGGACTGGGAATCACAGGTCATTTATTCTCCTGAAGTGCTCAAGTTTTGTTGTTGTTTTTTGTTAAAGGTTATTTATAGTGTCAGAGTAGAAGATCTTGATGAGTTGAAATCTTACATTCATGTTTAAGCTCTGTATTTCAGAGCTGGCTGGTCAGATTCAAATTAGTGCAATAACATGAAATATTCTCCAAGTTCTAGAGCCATTATAAGAAGTATGGTCAAGTCCCACTGTTTTGCCTGACAAGAGTAGCAATCCAATAGCTTGGTATAAAGTTCAACACAAGAAAACAAATACTCTATTATTTTATGTACATATGGTATTTGTTTGCTAACTGGAAATCAAGAAGTAGAATTTTCCTTTTCATAGCAGTCAGAAGTGTGGCTAGAGATTTTTGCAGATAGTGTCGAGCCAACCCAGGAAGACAGTCAACTACTGGACATTGTAGTAGAAAAGGTGGATTACGTTCACTGGCAAGTATTGCAGAAACAACAATCTATAGTGAACTATCATCAGAGAATAGAAGAAGAGAGAGAGAAAGTGCTCTATAAGGAGGTAATATCCATAATAACATTAGTTCACTTTAAAAGACCAGCAGTTAGTTAATGATTATGAAAACAGGAGGTTATGACCATAATATAACTAGTTGGTCTTAGAAGATCAATTATTGATTATCAAAACATAGCTTTTGTTGAAAAATCCTGAGAACTCACATCACATCTTGAATATTATTAATATACTTTTATTCTGGTTCAAAGAAAGCAGTTTTATGTATCTCATCAGGTTTAATGTTATTCTTAATAGTAGCATTCAATCATATCCATGGCTTCTAATCAAATAAATAATGAACTTTGTACCTAAAGCATATGGAAAGAGATAATAAGAGAATGTGTTTATAGATGTGATACCTTTA